CCTTCCTCGCCGCCTGGGCAGCAAGTTTTTTCTCGAGATTGGCTTTCCGGATGTCGGCAGCCGACCTAGCCGGTGTCTTCTCGGTGGGCAGCATTTTCTTGGCTTCTTCTGCAAAGGCAGACACACGGTTAGAATAATAAACAAGCAAGGAAATAAAAGCATCCGGTTCGAAAGACACCGGCTGAGTTCCGAATACATACGTTTTTTAAACATGCTGCTTAGACCACAAGCGGACAAGAAGCATTCGTCCCTAAAAAATTCATGTTTGGGCACCCAGTTTCTAGGTACCCTTACTATCTCTCCGGATGAGAGGGTGTCAGGAACTAACTCAAAAAACCCGGAGTCAAGGATGGTCTCTCTATCATGCTCCGGGACAGGGGGCAGGCAGCACTTGGTTCCCAAGAGTTCTGGTTTCCGGTTGTAGATCCGGAATTCTCTGTTCTCTGCCGTAGTTGGGGCCTTAACCAAGTAGAACCGGTGCTTCCAGTCCGACCATTTGGATGGCTTGTCCAAGGTCATAAGGTATTTGGGCTGGGTGGTCAAGGTATACCAGGCTCTCCAGCCGCCTGGGCTCCTACTCAAGTAATGCATGTGGGAAAACGCCTCCCAGCCGGGGTTGAGGCCCTGCATCTCGCAGGCGGCGATATACCCTAAAATATTTACCCATGAGTTGGGGGTTAATTGCCAGAGACCTAGGCCATACCCCCTAAGTATGGATTTTATTGTGTCGTGGAGAGGGAAGCGGACTCCGGCCAAGAAGGCCGCCTCGTAGCACCCGAACCAAGCGTTCGCGTTCGGTTGTCCATCCTCCCACCATATTGTTCCCAGAGCAGCCGGGATTTTTATTGTATAGTCACCCCCCAGCGGCCGCCGTTTGATAAAATCTGGCAGCGCAGCCCGCATGAGCTCGCGGTCCTTAGAGGAGACGGCGATCATGAGAGGATCGTTCCTATTATCCCAAGAAGGCCTCTCCGCCTCCTCGCTATCCTCAGATTCGGTTAAGTAGCTGCTACTGCTACTTTGAACGCGACCGGCATCAGAGCCGGCTGGGGAGTTGGAGACCTCCTTATCAGAGCCTGCCTGCTCTCTGGTCTCCTGGAGGGGAGCAGTCTCCTCATTTAAAATGCTATCACCTGGGGTGCTAGGAGCGCCCCCGGGTGAGCCTCTCTGCTCTACCTCTCCTTGCTCTACTTCACCGCCTGAAGCTGGGACCTCAGGCGGCTTCTCATCTGAGCTCCCACTTCTGTAGTTGGGATCTCTGGCAGTAGACCGGATTCTGGCCATTGTGTCCTGCGCAGACACAGAGTCGGTCGATATGGGTGTTGAAAAAGGGTTGTCCCAAAGAACAGAGGCGGCAGACCTAGTTCTAGACTCAGCCGTACTAATAAACCGGCTGAGTTCACAGCTAGGTTCCGGGTATGGGTATAAGGGGTCCATCTACTTATGGGACCAATGAACAAAAATGCGAGTAAAAGACTCAAACGGAAATACATGAAAAAGCTAGAAAGAATAGAGACGGTACCTAGAAGAAAATCTGGAAATTCTTTGGGATGCTTGCGAAGACGCAGGCGGTTCAAAATCCGGCTGGGTTTCTCTGATTACCCTCTCGAAAACCTTTTGCTAGCTTGCAACGACCCAGACGGTCTGTAGACCGGTTGCTCTCAACCAATCTCAACTCCGAATGCTCTCAACTCTCAAATTGCCGGCTGCTCTCAAATTTTCAGAAATTTGGCAAAGTTTGTAAATGAGAGCTCGGGGGACATCTTCTCCTATTTATAGGATTTGTCCCAGAAGGTGAAGATTCGTGACTCTTCGCCTTCTGCTTTTCCATCCTTCAAAAAGAATCTGAAGAGTTGTAAAAAAAAAAAAAAAAAAAAAAAACCTTTCACCGGCGCCACGTGGCACCCTGCCACGTCAGCACCAGTGAGGGGCAAATATTTGGGGTAAAAATACCCTAAACACGTGGCCCAATGGCCTAGTGACACGTGGCACCCAGCCGTTGGTCAGCAAGGCTCCAATCCTCTGCTGACACGTGTCCTCTAAACCCTAAAAGGGGAACCATCCCTTCCCCACTATAAATAGTGGAAGGACCCTCATTAAGGGGCATCTGGAACATTTATTATTCACATTGAATACTCCTCAAAAAGAAAAACACTTACCCCGAGCAATATTAATTGCAGAATTCTCCCATTACGCGAGAAGTAACTTCTACATTACGTGCATCCTACCTCCCATATCTTTACTAACTTGATCGTCGGAGGCGGAGCTCCTACCCCCAGGAGTCTTCGTGATTTTGCAGGCACAGGCGTCGAAGGGCATTCTTGGAATTGTAACTCTCCCGCAGGACACATCAAAAAACCCCGAAACAGATAGTAATATAAAATGTGATCGATTTTGTTAGATTTGTCATTTTTGGAGATGCATGTTTAGCCTCACTAGGTACACCTCTTTGCAAACCTAATCTTTTCTTCTACTTCGCATATTAAAACTTTTAAATACGCATATCAATTATTGGGAATTATACCATTTAAGTGTTGCTAACTATGTACCACTCTGAAGTGCTATCAAAAGTATTTAATTAAGAACACAATTTTTTTTGCCTCACTTGCAAAAGTAATTATATCTAGCATAATATTACTCAATTTATTTCAAACCATCAATTTATGCGAAAATAGGTCTCTAGGAGACAAACAAAAACCTAGATTCCTAGTTAATTCACATCATTGCCCAAAACATAGAAAAGAAAGTTGACAAATTGCATATGATAGCATGATTTCATCCCTAACTATATCTAGCATATATATTACTCCCTCAGTTCCTAATTATTTTTCCCGATTTGACTTTTATCTCGATAAATATTTCAACCAGGAATACATTTACGAAGGGAATACTAAGTAGCTATTGAAAATAGCTGGGATTTGAAGGGTGCGGAGATGCTTGATTTCCTGTAAGTTGTTGCACAAGACCCCTAAATTCCTCTGGCTTGACCTCTATAACCTTCGGCGATGTCATGTACACAACAACCGGACCGGGAATTTCTCCCGGAATTTGCTTCTTGAACTTTGATGAATCGTTGCATGCTGATCCTGCTAAGCACTCTTCAGTCCTTCCCTTTGGTGCATGAACATTAACATCATTATTGCAGCTCATATTAATAAATTACGTGATTCGATCACTTAAACAGCAATAATCTCTCGAAAAAATTGAGCAATCTGATCTATACAATTCTCAAGCAAGCAAAGGTGAATTTATATATGAGTGTGTGCATGAAAGAACTTGAATTATTAAACCGGATTTCTTGGGTCAAACTCATGACTTAGTCAATATATGTTTGAATATATCAAGTACGTCTAGTATGAGTGTTATTTTGTTAGTTTATAATTATTATAAAGACGAACTAAATTAAGTCTTTTTAAAAAATGGCAGGTGAGGTGACTTTTGCTGGACCCTTTAATTGCTACAGCCGACACTTGAATTGTTAATTTAGATTGAAATGTCAAAAGAGATTAAAAAAAGTCAGATCAAGAAATTCAGAAAATTAAAGCACGTTAGTCAAACCATTGGAGATTTAATTACATTATATAAACAGTGACATATATAACATTCCAAAAGTACGTACTAGAAGCTCTCATAAAGAACAAGGGCGCAGCCAGTCAAAGTCGTTAATTACTAACGAAATGATATCCGTGTCATGTAATTGGTTGACAGGAGTGAGTTAGTTGTACTTAAAAGACGCAATCAGCAATGACACACCAATCACGCCGACGAGGTGCGTGGCCGTGTAGGGGAGAAATTATTGTATGTATGATCCTGAGACTTTGCTTTTTACCCGGCCTCTCGGTCTTCTTACGAAAATAATAACCATATGTCTAATGAACCATGCAATAATTACTCGTTTAAGTTCCCAACCATAGGTCATGTTGTGCACGGACCGTGTATCTAATTTGATTTTGCGTATTGGTAAAAATTAGCAAAAGTTATGCATCAAATAAATAGATATTGACCTAGATGAAAATTGGAATTGTATGTTTACATCTTTCAGCAATAGCTTTATTTTATGGATGTAGGATGGAATCACAGGGCTATCTAACCCTCTAGACCAATCCTTGGCATTCATTTTAGCAGATAATGATTTTGATGTTTGGGTTGCTAACTCTCGTGGGCGTGGCACCAAATATAGCCTCGGTCATATGGCATAGCTCTAGTGACTCGGTTATCTCTTCTTCCTATTGACAAAAATATACAATCTTTCTGTCTCATGTCAAAAAAAACAGATGTATGGTTTACATTCACCTCTCCTCCCCCGGTTCTATTAACTTAATAGTAGAATTCGTAGAATCCTTATGTAGGCATATTGGGATTTGTCATGGGATGAGCTGATGGCATATGATCTTCCAGCAATGGTCCAAAATGTGTATGATCAATCTGGTAAACAGAAGCTACATTATGTTGGGCATTCACAGGTAAAAATACTGAATTGTACTGCACTAATGTTGATCGCATTTCCTTCTTCCCAGTTTCTGTATAACTCTCAGGTATTTTAGGAGCACTTTAGCAGTTTGACTGCAGGGAACATTGATAGCCCTGACCGCCTTTTCCCAGCAGAAGCTGTTGAACATGGTAAAATCAGCCGGGTTGCTCTGTCCAATTGCTTATCTAAGTCGAATGACTTCCCCACTTGCTAAAGATGCTGCTGAAAACTTCATAACTGAAGTAAGTGCACAAGCTTATCTAATCTCTAAATGCACGCGTTTCTAACTTCTAAGTCCATAAATTGCATACTTCTTACATTATAAGTACCCTTTTCAGAGTACTCATAGCCCCAATAATGGACTCTCAGCAAACTTAGCTTGCCTACTTCAGATGCAGGCTTACATGGTAGCAAGAAACCATCAGTAAAACATTCACAAATTCAGGGGTCCTAATACTAACCACACCAAAACAAAAACCATACAATAACAAAGTTGTCCAGTGTTCATCTATCTTATTTCACCCAAAAGTTCCACACAATAATAGCGTTTCACTATTATTCTTCAGGTGCATATACATAACAAATAAACGAAGATTGCCCAACAGATAGTACTGCTTATGTTTTTCTGAACCTAACAATTTAAACTATCAACTTCTTATGTTTCTCTACGCCAACTGGCCACCACTAAAATACAACGTTTTACCATCAACCACTATTAGTGCTTTATAACAACATGAACTCAACAAACCTCATTTGTTCAGTCATTTCTAATACTAGCCACAAGCCAAACTGATCCGTATAGGAATAATTTAGCCCAGTTTTCATATTATTTCATCCTTGAAGTTCTACTCAAGCAATAGTTATGTTCGTACCTAAAATCTTTTAAAGCTCAAATCCAGGACCTTACATAAAAGTTTTATGCTTACTTCTTGCATCGTCATTCAAGTCACATCACTCGACATCGAAGCCCTTTTCTTGAAGTTCAGCAATTACTTCATTCCTCATCCTAAACCACAGCTTGTGAGCCTCCTGCTCAAACTTCTTGTTCTGCAATTCCTTCTGATAGTTGAACGAATCCTTATCAGTATCAACCGTCCCTTTCGGACCAATGGTAGTGCCAATCATCCCTCCCTTAGCAACAAACTCTTCCATGGCTTCTTTGTCACCCGGGTACGGAAATTGTCGCCTTTCGTAGAGATGAGCCAGTTCTTTCTCCTCCTTAGGACGAGGCTTCAACGTCCACCACCCAAGTGGGGATGTTTCATTGTAAACCCAAGCTGCCCCAAACAATGCATAGGTGCATAACAATGCCTTACCCACTTGCTTCCAAAAGTACCAATCTTCCCTCCCTAAACCCACTTTTTTCAAGACTTTAGCCCATTGAATACCTGTTATAGAAGCATTGCAATAAAGAATAGTAAAAACATAAGCATGTCATTTACGCATTTCATCGAACAGGTGGTGGGCATTAGCGTTTAACCTGTTGGTGCATCTGGGAAGCGCTTCCGAACCATTGAATCGAATTGTTTCAAGCTAAAAAATCAAATGAAGTAATAAAATCAGATAATCCCATCATTAAATCATCATGAATTGATCAATTTTTGTAATTGGGTGCCCAAAAATGCACATCAAATCACCAGCCAACTTTTGAGCTGAATTCAATTTTTGATAATAACTTCGCAAAACCCTAAAATTTTACGTTAATCGACTCAGATAAATACAAATTTTGTAATCAAAAGCAATTGGAGCAAGCATTTTTCAAAATTTTGCAGCGATAAACAAGAAAATATGCAAAACAGGAAAGCGAAAGAGTAGAATTACCGGAAAAAGGTTTACGTTTGATAGAATGATAAAGTTGATCAAACCAACGAAAGCGGCAAGACTTGCCTGAGTGATCGGGAGTTTCGCGGGCGATGAGGTTCGAATTTCTGCTTCTAACTATGCGATCAGCTCACTTATTACGGTGTCTTCCTCCGGCTATAAGCCTATAATAACTGCTTACGAGCCACCCGAACTCAACTTGGTCAACCTCGACTCGAGATGACTCGTGCTTATTCGAATCAGCTCGAAACTCAATCAGTGTACAATAAATTTAATATTTTTCCGTTCTTCTATCTTTAAAAACACAAAAATTGCCTTAACATTTAATAAATTTAAATTAATACAATTTAGTGGAAAAAAATTATAAGGAAAAGTAAATATAATTAACAAACGTTTAAAATTCAAGAGAGCTAAACCTGTAAACGAGCAGCTCATGATCGATTTGGCTCGCCTCAAAATTTAACGAGCACAAGTCGAGCAACCCTTTGCTCGTGATCAACTCGCTTGATTAGCACCCCCTAAAGGGAGAGTGCATTGTGTTAGGAAAGGGAGAGTGTGCAAAAGTTGAGTATTAAGGACTTGGTTCATTTTGTATATTTGGACATTTGGTTGTAAAAAAAAAAAAAGTTTTTGACCAAAAGTTAGTTGAATGACTCATAATATTTAATCACTTAGTCAAATCCACATACAGTTTGTATTGTGTAGCATCTAAATAAATTCTTCTACTCTATGGAGATATTATGTTGTAAAAGAAAATTAACTATTATTTCATCATATGAGAAAAAAATTTCAAAATTGATTATATTTGAAAAGAATTACCGTATAAAGTATAGTAACTCTATAATTAGTAAATCAAGTTAAAATGTCTACTCCTTGAGGGTTTTTTTTTTTTTTTCATGGTAAGGTCTATTGGGCCCAAGTACAGGACTCCTATCACAGGAATACGTGGTTGGCATTGTCCAAGGATAAGAGAAGAGGATTTATCATTGATGAGAATCAAACCTCGCACCTCAAGGATACGAGGCGACCTTTCGTGATACTGCATTAAAAGTCGATCCTGAGCTCAGACCACTCCTTTAGTTGCTTGGTGAGCCAAACCATTCATTTCTCTCATTATACATAAAGTTAAAGCAACCATACGTCATTGTTTAATGTTGAATCTAGCTAGTTTATATATTGACAATTAAAAAAAAATTAAAAAATTAAAAAAAAATAAAAATAAAAGACATATACGTATTTTCAATATCATGAAATGATAGATCTCTAACCGATAAAAAACATACTCCTTCCATTTTTATTTATTTGCACACACCACTTCGGCACAAACTCCAAGGAAGATATTAAACTGGGTAAATGGACAAATATGTTGATGGTTCTTCAACTTTTTAAACTTAAATTATCACGACTACCCGTCAATCCTTTTATCTCCAGTAAAAAGAAAGTGTTAAGTTGTTATGGTTTAAATTTTATAGCTTAATTCATTTGTTTATCTCCTCAAATAGCGTGTCAAAATGTGTGTTGAAATATAAGAAAGAGAAAACAACAATAAAGCCAATTAGAACACAGTGATACATAATTGGTCCCACTCGCATGCCAACTTGCATCAATTAACTATAGGATTAATACTGTTTTTAAGCCCAACTTTCACCAATTTATTTTTATTAATCCCAACTTTGGTTTATTCCTCAATAATCCCAACTTTAAGGTGAAATATCATTCTTCAATTCCAAAAACTAGTGACCGGTTGAATGAGTTATATTTTTTTTAAAAGTGACACGTGTCGTTATGTAATTGGTCTAAATATATATTTTTTTAAATAATTAATTTTAGATTTTTTAAAAAAGAAACCAGCCCCTTAACCACCATACGCAACATTCTTCTCCGGCGAACAACCCCTCCTCGCCGACACTACACGCTCAATCCCCCACTAGCGAACACCACGACGCAATCCCTCCTCCCCCGACGACACGAGCCCACCGTACCTCGATTGGCCCGATGCGAACATACCACCGCACCAAAAACCGCCCAATTCAAACCGCAGCAACGATCTGCTTGCCATTTAAGCCGCATCAAACTTCTGCCATAAACACAACAAGGAGCTCAAAAGGTCTCTTTCTCTCTCCTCTCGAATTGTTTGCTTTTTTCATTTCAGATTCGATCCCTAACTTTGATTTCTTTACCCATATTTTATTATGATTTGGGTTTCTTTGGTTTGATCTTGATTTTGTACAAGTGAGAAGCAAAGATGGACTACGGTGGCGTGGTTGTTGCAGCAGTGAGGGTGGCTGTGATGTGCGAATTGGTGGCGATGGTGGTGAAGGTTGCTGCAATGTGAGGGGTTGATGTGGCTGCGCCTGCCGCTGCAATTTGATGCTCGGAGCAGGGGACTGGGATGGTGGCCATGGCAAAAAAACCCCACAAACACGCCTGAAAAAACTACAAAACACCTCGAAGAATCCCTAGCCACCCTAAAAACTCCCCCAAGCACGCTAAAACCCCACTTGATCATCATCATCAACAACAAAATCGGCCATGGGATGGGGTTTTTTAGCGGTTTTTCGATAAGGTGGGTGGGTTTTTTCTGGAATTTGAGGGGTTTGGGTGTTCGATTGGGTGGTCGGAAGTCATGGAGGAGAAAGGAAAGGGAAGGGAAGAGGAAAGGGGATTTCAGGTGGGGTTTCGGGTAGGGATTTCAAGGGGAAGTGGAAGGGCGGCCAGAAACGGAGGGGAAGGAGGGTTGCTGGAAATGGAGGGGATGGGGGGGGGGACTGCCGGAAATGGAGGGTGTTTGGGTCCAATTTAGTCCAATTGGGCCTAAGCACTAAATGATCCAATTAAAAGCCCAAGGTCAAGGTTCAACTCTCCAATTGTGCTAAAGTCAAAGGTCAGCCCACAAAGCAAGCCAATTGGGCTAAGGCCCAACCTCTCCATGTATGATGAGGTATAAAAGCCATCATATTGATACATTCAAGAGGGGGATTCGGATTCATTCATAGATTCATATGTTCATTCATATATTCTGAGATATTCCAAAAAAGCCTCAAGCAACAAACTCTCTTGCATAGTGTCTTCTTCTTACACATTGTACTGACTTTAGCATCGGAGGGGCCTTCCTCGGCAACACCCCCGAGGCTAGTTTACGTGTGTTTACTGTGCAGGAAATCTTCGGCCCAACATAACTTGGACCGAATCCAGCCTTCTCCATTTCAGCGGACCTTCGGCAAGGTCCCATTGTTTTCACCCGAAACAATTTGGCGCCGTCTGTGGGGAAGACTTTCAAAAATCTTTAAGCCAAATTCCTAACCAAGATCATCTTGCAATTATCTTAGCAGCAATGGCTAAGAACCGCAAGAGCAAAAGCCTCCGTCAAGGAGCGGGCGAAAAGCCTAAAACCCCTACACCATCGCCCTCGCCGGACCGGAACTCTCCCAAGGGTGCCGGCTCGGGGGGAGGATCATACAAGGAGGATTCCCTATCTCCCGTAATTCATGACTCTCAATATAGGCCGGGCCACTCTCGGTCTAGCAGGGGTCAGTCCGATCATAGGACATATTCAGTGTCCCAAAGCCAACCATCGACTGCGCGCCCTCATTCCCACACTCGGCCGAGGACCCCTTTGACGGGGCCCAGCTCGGAAGAGGTGGCAAGAGCGCTGGCAGTACTCATGGAGGCGATGAGGGCACAAAATATGCCACCACCTCGTGATCGAACTCCTCCGCATACCCGGCATCAGCGGAGGAAGTTAGACCATGATGGTGGGAAGCTTCCTTTCTTCCGGGAACTGGAAGAGTGGGAGGAGGATTCTTGGAAAAATGAAAAACAGAGGAAAAAGAACCCTCAATTTTTAAAAGGATCCTCATCCTCAAGACCAGAAGCGCATAAGAGCAGCAGCTCAGCTTCTCGGCCAGAATCTACTCACCGAGAACCTGAGACTGTTCGCAGAAGCGTCCTTGACCGACTCGGCGGCCAGGAACCGAGCGTGCGTAGTCGCCTCTCGTTCCCTGCAGCCGAGGCCCAGACTTCCCAGCCAGGGACGAAAACCACTCCTACCTCTCTAAGAGGGCGGAGCGCGGTCCCTTCGGCCAGGAACAAGGGCAAGGCCGTTATGCTACCCGCTAGTTCACCATTCGAGCAATGGATACTGGAAGAGCGCGTACCCACGGTTAAAATCCCTTCGCACATCACATATGACGGGACCACGGATCCGAAGGACCACGTGGCCTCGTATGAGACTCATATGCATCTTTGCCCCAGATCCGAGGCGACTTGGTGCAAATATTTCCCAACCACTCTCAAGGGGGTCGCGCAAGCGTGGATCTCCAAGGGAGTAAGGCAAGGCTCCGTAACAGGGTGGGATGATCTGTCCTCCAAGTTCAGGAGCAAGTTTTCCACGGCAAACCGCCGAGAGAAGACTACCGCAGAGCTCATGAGTCTGCAACAGGGGGAAACCGAAAGCCTCCGAGACTACCTGACCCGTTTCAGTAACGAGTCATCAAGCGTCTCCCAGCTGGACTAGGGGCTAGCCGTTTTCGCAATGCAGAATGGCCTTCAGCCAGGAAAGTTCCTAGACTTCATGGTCATGCATACCCCGCAGACTTTGGAGGAAGCTCTTAGTGCTTCGGATAAGTTCATCCGAGCCGAAGAATGGAACAAAGTGAAAACCCAACCTCAATCCGGGGGAGGGAAACAGAGGCAAATACCCTTGTCTGAAGGCCAAGGCCATAAGGCAAAGGGAAAGTCAAAGGCCCCGGAGCAATCTTTGGCCAACGACCCAAAGAAGGAAAGATTTGCCTCATACACAGGCAGATACGAGTCCTACACTCCGCTCTCTCTTCCACGCGCCAAAATTTACAGTGTGACGAAGGAGGAGCAGAGTTACCGAAAGCCGAGACCACTCCCAGAGTGGTATCAGCGAAAAAATAAAAATCAGTGGTGTGAGTTCCACGAGTCTTCGGGCCACAACACTGAGGAGTGTATCCAACTGAAGGACCAGATAGAGGACATGGTCCGGAAGGGATACTTGAAAAAATACATCGCGGATCACCGCGAGAAAAAAGAATCCGAGAGGTCAGCAAAGGACCCTCGGCAGGACCTTGATTTCCCCCGGAAAAACAGTAAAAAGCCGGAGGGGAAATTCCCTCCGATCAATGTTATCTCGGGAGGAATATACTCTCGGAGGGAGCACAAGCGCCACCTTAGAGCTTTGACTCACCAGGTGAACAACGCTGACATTCAATCTCCCCAGTCGCCGGTGCCGAACATGACGTTCACAGC